ATTGTGTGAGTCTTTCCACTTTTTAAACGGCTTTGGCTTTTGCTCACTGAATTGCAATAACACATGTTTTATTAGTAATTATAAACCTTCTTGTACAACCGTCAACAATCAGAGTTCATCGTGCTCCGCTGAACACAGATGAGGTGATAAAACATCACAGCAACTAGAGACACTTGCAGAGGGGAGAGTAATCTGCCTCTACATAATGGATATAGATTCAATTTATTTTCAATGTAAAGCGAGTTGACAAGGCGGGACACCAGAAGAATATGACAACCGCTCTTAATTGACCATTGCTGGTGTTGTGCACTGGTGCATCAAGGAGTTCAGCAACAATCAGGCTTGGCTTTAAGTGCCCACTTGCATCTCCCACTTCTTCCTCTGTGTCCTGCTTAATCTTTTTATGATAACAATATTGGTGTTGGCATGCAAGCATCTGCAGTTTCTAACTTTTACTTTAAAAAATTCAACATACTACCTTTTGAAATAGTGAGTGATGGTGAAGATCTAACACCCACTAACTGATAACTAGCTGCTGTACCTGACTCAGATCATGGTGCTATATATTAGTTTCATGCAGTTCCTGGTATTCTGATGTATGTACTTTTACAGGATCAGATTTTTTGTGTTTAGCTGGTGGCACAGTGGGGACCTATCAGAACCTATCATGGGAAAGGGTGTGGTGTAGTAAAATGTCTGTGATTTCAACAGTGGGCAGACCTCCTAACTCCACAAATATGAATTGTTTAACTGAAGCACAGAATCCAACAACAAAATCCACTCTGTTCACAACCATAAATGTATTTTCTTCTGCTGAAGTAGACATAGAGAACAATGGCCTTCATTTACTCATATGTACATGGAATCTTGCCCTGGGCAAAAAAGAAGAAAGTTTATGCACTATTAGAGCTGTGCACTCGTGTGCATGTTAGTAAATCAGAGTCATTTGGATGCAACAGACTTGTCCAGTTTGCATATAATCTGCGTAGCATCTGCATGCTACCACAGTCTCATTTCTACTGCAGGGAAGTACTACACTGTGATGACTGCTAGGTTGAGCAAACGGCCTAAAATGTGAGTTCAGCAGGGTGCTGCTCTTTGCTTCTACGTGATTTCTGTGATCACTCAATGACTTTATGTTAACAATATGTGCCCACTCCCTCTTATTCTTGTATTCTAAATGTTTTAATTAACTGCGCTCTCGCACTGCAGGCCTACTTGTTATTCCTAGAGTATTTAAAAGTAGAATGGGAGG